CCTGCACCACTCTGAGTATCCACCATGGGCGTCCAGCTAAAAGACGGTAAAGAAGCGCTTGTGGGGAGGCAACCCCACCATGGTTTGCATTTCTTTTTCCCTTTTTTCTTTGTTTTGTTATGTGTCGAGTCAGTTGCACGTCTGTGTTGAAGTTAGGTCGTCTGATCTGCCTCGGTTTGGTGTTTTTATGTAGGGGAGTTCGAAAAAATGAGAAAAAGTGTTTTTTGGCCGAAAAGGGGGAAATACCCGAGCTCGACCCAAAATACCCGACCAGGTATTTTGGCCTCTTTGCCCGGACCCATTCTGCCAAGGGAACGCAAAAGGGCAAAAGCCCGACCTTGAACCAAAAATACCCGACCGGTTATTTTTTATTCAAGGCCGGGTTTTTCCCGTATGTGGTACGTCGCGTTTTGCATCCCCTAGATCGGGTATTTTTGAGGCCCGGCAGGGTATTTTTGCTATATAAGCAAATCCACGACCAGCCCCCCTCTCTCTCCTCTCATTTTTTTAGATTTCCCTCTCTCTTCCCTCTCATTTCCTCTCCATTTCTCTCCCGCGTGAGCGCTGCCGGCCACCGCCCGCAACCGCTCCGCCGCCACGGGACCGGCGCCACCCACCGTCCACCACCGCACCACCGTCGCAGGCCACCGCCTGCCGCCGCCGTTGTCGTTTCCGGCGATTTTCCAGCGACTTCCGGCGGCTTCTCTGGCCGTTTCCTGAGTTTTTCCCGCGTCCCTCACCCTTCCCTCGCGTCTATCCACGGTCCTACTTGTGTCTCCAGGTGTGTTTCTTGCTTAATTAGATCTTTTTCTGGAGAATTGGACTGTAGATGTTAGGACCGAGAACTGTGAACTGTCTGGCATGTTTGTTTTAACATAGGGTGAGGGCTGCTGTGGGTATGGTTGGTTACTGTTTGTGTGATGCTCAGTTGCTTTGAATGGATCGTTTATGCATGATTCTTGCTTTAGTTGCGGTTGATTTATCAATCGTTTGGGCTTGTTTGTTGGCCCTAGGTGGTGTCCTTACAGTGTGGGGGAACTGTTGAACCCATACTGTTGGTCCTAACGAGTATTTTTCTTGGCTCCACCTTTGGTTTGTTGATTTTGCAGGATCATGTCGCTCGATCACCCGTTCATGCAATATCTGCGCCTGCACCCGAAGTACGCCGACCAGTATCGCCGGGTCATACGCGGAGTGCTCCAGCGCCATCACCATTTGGAGTGGGGGGTCTTCGAGCAGCTTCATTGCATGAACGAGATCTCCACCGCCATTAGCCACCCTGATTGGCGGACGTTGCTGAGCATCGATGAGCCCACCTACACAGAGCTGGTGTGGGAGTTCTACACCACCTTCCAGTACCGATCCAAAGCGGCCCGGGACTCCCCCACCGGTGTCACCTTCAGGCTGGGTGGGCACCCGCGAGAGCTGAGCATCGATGGGCTGGCCTATGCCCTAGGGATCCAGTACCACCCCTACTCCCGCCATGAAATAGAGATCCCATATCTGAAGGACTGGAACCAAGACACGTTCTACTGCCGGATAGCTCGACGCGCCTGCGAGATGGACTACTTCGATGCCCGCCAGACATATGTCTCCACCCTCAAGCCACAGTGGCACATCCTCAACCTGTTGATCACCCGCTCGATCATCCCCAACGCCACTGGTTCCCACAAGATCCCGAAGCGGGTGCTATATGACATGTATTCGATGGGGACCTGGATCATATGCTCCATTTGGGTTCTTTCATGGCCACCACCTTCTCTCGGTGCCACGGGAAACCCAACCACCTCTTTTGTGGTCCCCTGATCACTAGGCTGGCGCGCCATTTCAAGATTGACTTGGCGGGACTCACGAATGCCACAACCCGGGGTGGCTCCACCCCTCTCAATCGGGAGGTGCTTCACAACGCGCTCCTACTGGCCTCTGAAGGAGCGCGTTCCTGGGTGGATGGGTTTTCCCTGCCTCCCGAGGAGGATGCATATCTTGATGATGAGGATGAGAAGAACGAGGACTACACCAGCGAGGATGAGGCCGATGATGATGATGGCAGGGACCTTCAGCCATGACGGAGACCCGAGCGAGGCGAGTCCTCCTCCGGTCCTTCTGGTCCGTCGATGGCTTCTAGTCCGTCGATGGACTTCTTCACGGAGCATTTCCATTAGATGGGAATCCAGTTCCAGCAGCTCGGGCTCCAGAACCAGCAGCTCATAGACCATCAGGTCTAGTTTTATCAGCAGTACTCGGCCCACTAGGCCGAGTACCACTTGCGGATGACGGTTCTGAACGAGCGCCTCGACTGGATGGAGTCTCATGTGGGATTCACCAGTGCTCGCATCGAGGGGGAGTGGGATCATAGCTGCCGGATGATGGAGTACCAGGAGCACCTGTTCCAGTCCTCGCACCCGCCACAGGAGCACCACTGGACTACCCGGTGGGACCACTCACCACCCCCGCCACCACTAACAGATGGGGTTGACGAACTCATGGAGCAGATCAACTTCAGTGAGCTCGAGTAGGCTGTACTCGCTGCTCGTTTTGTGCTTCTTTTGTTTTAGTTCGGAGTGCAAACTGGCTTTTGTTTGGTATATTTTCTTTTGGATGATGTACTATGGGGCTGCCAGTTGACCTAACATATCTGTGCTTAAGTGCTTGTGTCTTCTTTAGCCTTGCCATAGCCCGACTGGTCCCATTCCAGTCCGTTTCACTCTGATTGGTCCACCTTCCAGTCTCATGCAGTCCGTGCAAACTGGTAACATCGTTCCCCTTATCCTTCCCTCTTCTCCATTGAGGGCAATGTCAAACTTAACTGTGTGGGGATGTTTCTATTTGACTGCTTAGATCTGTTTGTGTGCTTGGAGCCTAGTCCACTGTCCAAATTTCGATTTGAGGGCTCCAAGTATGTGTTCCTTGCAAATTGCTTGCTTAGTATGCTTTGAATTGACAGTCTCTATAGTAATGTGCAACCTAGGGAGGTAGTGTAGCACTATGGAGGATGTTGAAGTATAAGATTTTTCCTATCTATCTCTCTGTTGTGCTGGTTGATTCTGTGAATTAGTGGGTTAAGACCGTTGAATTCATGTGGTATTGGTGACTCCTTTTGAATTGTGTTGTGGACTCGTGTATCGAACATGGTGCTAATGTGGAAATTGAAAAGCAGTGGGTCCTCCATGTCGAAATCATTGAAATCTTAAACATGGGGTAAACCCAACGTTTGTGGCACTATTCATTGCACAAAATCGGGGTTTGGAAGAGATTTTAGTGATCCTTAGTGGGGTACTCCTACAAGGTGAAGCTAAGCTGTCTCTAGTACAAGTAAAATTTTCAAGCGTTGAACGGTTTGCCTACTCGAGGATGTGTTTTTAAGGGCACGAATAGAGCTTCCGACCCCCCTTAATTTCATTGACCCTCCACACGAATTAAGGAAAAGGATTTAAAAGAAGTACTCTGGCGAGTGCCAGATGTACAAAAATTGCTCTTGCTCGACTAATAAGGGTCGACCGTACAAAAGACTGCAGTTGGAACCCCCGCCAAATGAATGAAAAAAAAAAATGTAAAATGAAAGTGAAAAAGGGGTTCCAACGGTTAAATGAAGTGAAAGAGCACCCCGGTACAATGAGTCCTTGGTTGTGAACGGTGTGAGTCCTTGGTTGTGAATAGTGTGAGTCCCTTTACCCATGAACTGGCTGTCTTAATTCCACTTCTTCTCATGTATCTGGCTTGAGTCTAGTACTCGCATTGAGAGAGATAGGGGACGTCTTAGAAGACCATTTGACCTCGTAAGTTGCTATATGATCTCGTAAATCCTCTACCGACGATCTGGGTTGTTTGTTGCTATAAAGGTCTGGAGAATTACATTGGTTTGAGTTAGGTTTGCTTGGGGACAAGCAAACGGTTAAGTGTGGGGGAATTTGATAGACCATTGATTGCACATGTTTTTACCTCCATTCTTGAGCCGTTTGAGAGTCGATTCTCGTGTTTTAAGCCGATTTCATGCTAGGTTGTGTGTTTGTGTCATATTTCAGGACTTGGCGTTGACATAAAGGCGAGAAAACGAGTTTCAGGTCAAAAGGAGGACGTTGGAGTAGAAGGGTGTTGGAAGAGCAAAATACCCGGCCAGGAGTGAAAATACCCGACCGGGTAAAATGCAATGGGAGACTGGGGAAAACTTTTTTTGGACGCCAAGAAGCAGGAGGGGTCCCGACCTGAGAGCAAAAATACCCGATCGGGTATTCTGGGCCACGATCGGGTATTAACCCCTTTGGTGCTGCGATGCGTTTCAAAATCCCCGGCCGGGCACCTGAAATACCTTACCGGGGATTACGACCGGGGATCGCGTTCTGCTAGTTCTTAAGGAAAAGAAGGCCAACTTTTGAAGGGTTTCAAGTTTTAGAGAGACAAAGCTGATACCTAGAGAGAGAGAGAGTGACGAACCTGATTCTCCAAGTGCCCTAGATCGATCTTCATCACCATTGGATCCCGACTTGAGCTTGGAGAAGTGTCGATTGATTGCCAGAAGCAGAATTCCATTCATCACAATATGATTTCCGCATCTGAGCTAGATTTCCCTTCTCTCTCTATGGAGTAAACTATCTCATTCACCTGGGTATGAAGAACCCTAGATTTGTATGTGTAGGTCTGATTGTATGAACCCAAGTACGATTTCAGTGATATGATTATATTCAATTGAGGTTTGTCGAATGTCATGAATCCTGATCAAATTCCTGTTATTTCTGCTTTGACCTAGAAAGAGAGTATCTGCCTAGTTTGATAGAGCACCCTTGATTGAAGGTAGTGAATTGATGACTTTAGTCGAGGAGTCAATTCACTATTCTGTACCGGATTTACTTCGGTAAAGGAGGTTTGGTTCGTTATGGCCTCAATCTGTTTACTCCGTCTTACCAAAAAAAGTCTCCTTAGGGCCATTCATTTTTTTTCCCCAGCACACCGTCCCCTCACTATTATTGTTGTGATGAAAATTGAGGTGGTTGTGATGGGACACGTCATTCTATTTTTGTATATTACATCCAACTAGGGACTTTTCGATTTTATGGCTTAGTAAGAAGCACCAGGTTGTCTCTCGTTCTTCTGCTAGGGTCATCACTTGATATGATTATGTAACCCTCGGCCAGAAGTGCCTAATCCCCGACCAGGGATTTAAAGAGGGTGACCGTGGAATGTGTCCAGTGGTTTTCCCGGCCAGGATAGCTAAATACCCGACCGGGTTTCGGGTTCTGACGAGTTTTGTTGCCTTTTTCGTTTAGAATTATTTTCCTTTTTGGTGTTTCATTAGGTTATTTTTCCATACCTATTTAAAGTGTTTTAAGCTACGAATTTTCACAGACTATTCAGATTATTCATACTTTGTTAATGGAAAACCCCTTTTCACTTCATTGAGTTTTTTCTCGTGGATTTTGTCATTGTTTCTTGGTGGATCTCCTGCATTCGAGTGAGCTCTGTATCAATCAGGTATTCCCCTTGATTGTGGTAGAGTTGCTACCTTTATATTGTTCGAGCATCTTCCAGATTTGTGGTGAAGTTGCAAGACAATTCCGCCCTATCCTTTATTTTCGAGTTGTTGAGAGAAAATTCAGAAAAAAACGCTAAAAAGTGAGAGCTGTGTATTCTGATTCGTGAGCGAGTGCGGATTCCCGGATTTCTCTTACATCATCACTAGCACAATTAGTGAGCTTCTATGGTGGCGTTGCCTGCTTCGTTTAGCTTACTTTGCCGCAACTTAGTCCAACTATTATTTAATTGTGTCTAATGTTATAAAAAAATTTACCAAAATAAACGGGCAAATTTACCAAAATAAAAGGTAAAAATCTAACTGGTGAAGCATATAATTTACAAAAGTAGTCGGTTGGAGGGGTTATTTAGCGTGAGCGCTTCCATAGGGGCGTCAACGCCCAAAGTCAGGAGTGAACGCCTGCATAGAAGTGTTATCGCTATTTATTTGCGCTTTGCATCCATATTTGTCATCTAGCAATCGATGGCTCGATCGAAGCTGAATTGTCAAAAACGCTATTATACGAGCGATTTCGTTCATATTCAGGTGTCATTGTTCACTTTTTCCTATTATGTCCGTGAAATTGGCTTCTAGGAATCTGATTCCTTCTACGGTTGCTACTTTTACAACGACTGTTTGACCATTTTATTTGACCATTCAATATATATATAACAAACTGGATGGAAGGTTAAACAAGCAAAAAATCTCAAACTCTCATAACTTCACTTTCATATCTCTCAAACTCTTCTCGTCAAAACTTCATCTCTGCCAACAGTTCCTACACTACCACACTCAAGCAAACAACACATCTCCAACATTATTCTGAAGAACACAACTCCGACATATTTTGGTAAGTATATATTATTGTTAACCTTACTAATTCGTAGGCATGACCTAATAGTTCAATTACTAAAATAATAATTACTATGGAATCTCGTATTTATAGTTAGGTTTGGCTCACTAAATTCATTTGCACTTACAAAGCTTTAGACTTGGAAACTTCGGGATCGTAGGGAACTTTGTATGGTGAGGAATATAGGGAACTTTTTTAACCTTTAAACTAATATTGTATATTGTTTAACCTAATTTGTTTGTATTCATAGGATGTCTACACATGAGTTTTCTATGTCTAGTTTATCATTGGCTAAGCTAATTTAAGTTTGTTTTAGGGTAAACACAATATAATAGCCAAACCTTTTTCGTTTTAAGCAAAATAATAGTCAAACCTTTTCAAAAATAATTTAATACCCAAACTGTTAACTTTCCATCTAGTCAACTGTTAGTTGACTGTGAAGTGGCACATTTATTGCTGACATGGCAAGAAGTCAAATCTTTGACTATACCACGTTATTATTTATTTTTAAAAATGAATTAATTTTGGTTAAGAGCTACACAGATTAAGCAAGCTTTCTTATCCATTCATTCACGCCCTCTTCGCTCAGCATCAAATTGTCGAGTCAAGTGGTCATTGTTCTAGCAGGGAGACGAAGGGAAAGCTCGTCGACATCCTGGCTCAGCATTTCAACGTAGTTGCCCGCTGCCATGTGCCAAGTGTTATCGATTGTTTCATTAGCGCTTACGAAAGATCCGACCTGGTAGTAGCGGATGTGAGCTTGACCCGTGTCTTGAAAGTGAGATCTGATGGCCTCGAGGAGGCGGAGGTCGCCGATGGCGACAACATTGGCAGTGCTTAGGGATTTCGAAGCCGACATCAACGTGGGACTGAGCGGCGAGGTTTTAGACCTCATATGGCCGGATAGTATCGAGCCATTGATGGAGGGAAAAAGCATTGGTGAGATCGCATTGTGGAGCTTCATCCGAGCCTTGGGTAGTTGGTCCTTTCTTGTATTTTTGCGGCCCGGTTACGTGTTGTGTGGTCGAGTAGGGTTTATCCCCTACTATATATACCTTTTGTAAGGTAGCTGCTGGAACTATAAAAAACAGTAATAAGATAGATGCCAAAGAGTGTCATACTCTCCCGTGGACTAGTCCCGAATCTCGGGGATACCACATACATCGTGTATTGTATACTCTTTCTATCTTCGTTTTGCACCAAACTCGATTTGTTAATATTGTCGTTGTCGGAAGACATTTGAGGGAGAGTGCTTGGGAAGGGGTAAAGTTTTGAGATTCAGATATGGAATTGTGGGAAGGGGGGATGTTTTTCTTTTGCGGCAGACTCACATTTGCGGATCCGAATATGAATTGTTGTCGTCGATCGCCATTTGTGGGAGCTGGGAAGGGAGGAAATTTGGGATTTGCAAGGCTCTGGTGGCCAGAAAAATGGCGCACGAGGCAAGAGATGGAAGAGAACGGCGGAAGGTGGCAACCGGAAATTTTGTGACTTGTTGTTCTTGTTTATTGTTTTTTCATTTTCTATTTTTATTTCTTTGTATTCTATATTTATATATTCAATAATCTGAACCAATTTTTGTAACAAAAAAAATTATAAGCTGATGTGTATATTAATTTGCCACGTCAAAGTCAACTAACAGCTAACCGGACGAAAAGTTAACGGTTTGGCTATAAATTGTTTTTGAAAAGATTTTGGCTATTATTTTATTCAATACGAAATGTTTGGCTATTAAATTGTGTTTACCCTTTGTTTTACTTGTTAGAATGGTTGCACGTGAGTTTTTTTATGTCTATATGGTGGGGAGGTGTCATCTAAGAGACCAACGAAGGGATTAACTATGAAGCCGGGGAATATAAAAAGTTAAGAATCAACAAAGTTGTAAGTTACAAGCAAGTACGCAAAAATTTGAGATCGATGTTCGGTTTGGAAGAGGACCAAGAGATAAGGTCCATCACTTATAAGAGTCCTATGATTTATGATAATGGAATGTCACATTACGCTCCAGTTCTGATCACAAATGACATGTGGTTGATGACCATATACCATATGGTCTCATTGTTTTATTATTATTATAAAGGTGATACCATATGGTCTCATTGTTACCAACTTGGTATGACCATGCAGAATTGTATGTCGAATATGGGTCGAAAAGCTTCACCGACTTACTTGAGAAGGATAGCGTATATTCATCAGTTCAAACAATGTCATCATCATCCTTTACCAATAATAACAAAGAGTATCTTAATGCCTACAATGGTTGCCCACCAAGCAGCAAAGAAGATTCAATGGGTAATTATGAACATAGCAGTGAGTCTGATAGCAATGCTAGCGACATCGAAACTACAATTTCACATTATGCTTCTATTTCACCATCACATTATACAAATCTAGCTGACGGCATCGGAAATATGATGTTTGGAAGATATCATTGTCCAGAAGTACCTGAAGGTTATAATTGGGATGAAACAAGGGATTTCTATCCTGATGTCTCCTTTAACTCGAAGTTGAAGCATCCAACGCACTGAACGAACATGTCATTAGAAGGGAATTCCAAACATATGTGTCCAAATCTAATCGTAGGCAACTGGTCGTGAGATGTACTTCGCACAAGTCTATGGGTTGTCCGTGAAAGGTTAGTGCAACAGATGGAGATGATGGTGAAGCATGGGTCGTGCGAGACGAAAAACTCGAGTCATACATGTATGCCAGTAAGTAAATCATGGGAACACAAGCAGATGGATTCAGAGCTCATTTCTAACTGCATCAAACATTGCGTTGTCTAGAGTCAAATACACAAGTATTCTGCTTTAGTTGAGAAATTTGTTGCAGTTGATGCAAGGTTGAAATTGCAAGTATTCTGCTTTAGGTGGGGTATCATGACAACCAATTTTTCAGAGTGCATGAGTGGTGTTCTGAAAGAAGTTTGTGGCATGCCAATTGAGGCACTTGCCTTATGAACTTTTTGGCGCGTGGTTGAGTACTTCAATGATCGTTGCATGAATGTCGCGTCTGACTATGAAGCTGGTAATTTGTTCACCAAATATTGTGCCACCAAATTCAATAGAAGATTGAAAAAGGAAAATCACCATCATGCGCGACCATTTGACTTAATGGCTGCAAGGTTTAATGTCTTGACTAGGGTGAATAATTTAGTAAACAGAGGAGCCAATTATCAAGTGGTTCTCCTTAATGTTAATGATAGGTCTGGGAGGTGCACCTGTGGAAAGTTTCAATGGACAGCTATACCCTGTTGTCTTGCAATTCCATGTTGCCAGTTTCTAGGCATGGAGGCTAAAGTTTTCATCAATCATCACTATTCGATAGCGACAATTAGGGAGTGTTATAATTATGCATTCGAGCCACTTGGTGATAGGCGGTATTTCCATGAGTATCTCGGACCTTACCTTCTTCCAGATCAAACAACAAAACGAAAACGTGGTCAACCAAGAAAATCAAGACTACGTAATGAGATGGATTGGTGCGATGAATGGATTCCTCCTGAGTGAAGCATTTGTGATCAAGCTGGACACAATGCAAAGTCATGTCCAAATCGAAGGTTGTCTCAATCCCAAGCATCATCTTCCAGAGTTTCAGGGGGTCACAGTCATTAAACTAATAATGTTGGATGTTATAAATATGATGGAATTCTAAATGTTTGACGTTATAACCATCATGTTGGATGTTATAAATATTAAGTAATTCTAAAAATACTAGTTCGAACAAGTAGAATACTACTTTTAATAAACAGAATATTTGTTATAACAAGTTATTGCTACTTGTTCTGAGCGGAATACTATATGTACTAAGAAACTATCCTCAAATTTGGATGCTAAACAACTATCATCAAAGTTTAACTAATGTCAAACATTATCGTCAAATGTTAAAGTGTCTTAATACATTACAAGCAATCACAAACATCCATAAATAATAATGGTCATCTCGAAGTGGATTACGCCCACCAGTGCGACAAAGAGTAGGTGGGATAGTAGCTCTATTCTGCAAGCCATACTGACGATGTCCCTCGATGTTTTGCTCTGCAGCTCTCGCTGGACCGCGACCTCATCAACATGGGCGGACTGGGCTAAGGGGTATAACCTCGTCATCGTCAAAATCAACAGCAGATGACTGTCTAAGTGCCTCCTGTTGAGCACGTTGTTGCGAGGTAGGAGATCTATTGCCTCATAAAACCTGTGCCTGTGGTACCAAATCTTGCAAAACCTAAACTACTACCACTAGCACCAGTATTGTGGTGTGCAGCGTAGCTTAGAGTACCAAATTGAGCAACTGGACAAGGAGTTACACACACACCTTGACTAATAGATCCATCATGATATGGCAAGGGAACTTCCAACAGCACTGGTATCCGTGGAAATTGTCGGTCTTGCTCTTGAATAGGACTGGATACATGATCTACATTTTCTCAACCTTAACCTCGTGCATGTTCTCTCATTTCCCGTTGTCTACGGGGTACGTACTGTGGGTAGTGAACATAGGCGCCCTCACTTGTTGCTCCATCTATCACTGAACCACCTATCTCAAAATATCTCCACCGCCTATCAATATAATAGTATTGAGAAGAGCATCCAAATGTTGGACCTCCGTGTCACCTAATGCTAGTCGTGGCCTTGTCTTTTCACGTGCAACATCCATAACGTCAAGCTAAATCACAACAAAAAGAACAACATGTTATTAAAAATCTTTGCACCACAAAAATACTATATTCCAAACTGCAGGAATGCTATGGTAAGCTGTTACATTAATACTTTATCGATGCATCACAAATATTATATTCACAACTGCAGCTAGTTGTATTATAGATACTTGTATTAAGAATATACGTACCATACTCTAATGTGCAGCAGCATAGTAGGCGATGAATCATCGTGTAATTCGTCGATACCATTGCATGTACTCATAATGATAATGCAGAGGATGTGAAGGTACAATAAACCCCTTAATGCAATGACTCAAACAACTCTTCCAATACTAAATATAGGTGGAATGGTTTGCCGTCCAATCATCCTCTTGGGCACGATCATCCTCATTAAATAATGCAACTACTTCATCCCTTGTTTCTGAATAAGTAGGAATATTTGGTTGAATTTCAAATTGATGCATTGTACGATCAGGACGGTGCCAAGAGACACAATGAAAGCATACAAGCGGAGTGACACAGAACCATAAATGACTTCAACTGACTTTGATCCAATCCGTAAGGTGCCCACTACACCAACATAAAATTTGGTTCATTGTTATATCTAGGCAAAAAATTTAAACTAGAACTCTAAGAACTTCTAATGCATACATCGAATTCCTATGTGGTATCACAGAATACTCGATATTCCATTAACTTTCTTCATGTTCTACAGTTCGATCCACCTACATTATGCGTTATAAGGGTAAGTTACATTCTAACCTATAAATAACATCTTATATCCATATAAAATATTTAAGGTTAGCAATAATTAGATACCTTACTCGAAAAGGGGCGTGATGTACATCAGGTTCATGAGGAACGGGTGCAATGCTTCGTAGCCGTTGCCAAGCCCACAACTGAAGGAGAATGAAACAACCATCCAAGTCCCCATGCCTACTACCGCCTGTTGATCCATAACCAAGCACCATTCTACCCATCTCATGATATATGTTCGACAATACGACAAACCCCATGAGTAGCTAGCAGCTTTATCCAAATCATGAAGGATCCACAAGAAACTGCAAATAACGTTTGCTCCAGAACAATTTGGGAATAACACACCTCCCATTAGTGACAAGATGTAAGCATTGGCAAACCTTTGCAAACCCTGGACGCTAGCATTATTTGGAAGAGTTTCAAACTCACGTCGTAGCCAACTCATCCTCAGCTTATTACCTAGAAGGTCCGTCTAAACTATAGGATGACATCCCAAACATGTATCACATGTTTTTTTTGCGGCATCCATCTCACTTTATTCTGTATTTGTGGGTAGAGGCAAGTCTTCAAGTTTCAAACCTAGAAGTAACTCCACATCTTGGAGAGTGATGGTACACTCTCCAGTAAACAAGTGGAATGTGGATGTCTTTGTATGCCACCTCTCAACAAGTGTAGTGATCAATGCCCCATCAAGTTTAATCTTGGAAATATCGGGAATACTAGCAAATCTGAAGCTCTGTAAAAAGGGATCGTATCTCTGATCATACTTCACCGGCTTCTGACTACGCAAATGAAACTTACCAGCTTCTGAACATACATAAAGACAATGAAAGACACGGTTTAGATATCTATTTCTCTCTTTCACACGTAAACAAAAATAAGATAGCATTAAACAACCAATAAAATAACAAACTTGATCAAGCCACACACGTCGAGCACGGTGTTCACCTTCTCCCCATAGTATAGATTTATCAATTGGCTCAGGATTCACCCCCAGCGGCGGAGCGAAACTCATGGGATCCATCCCTAGAAGAAAATCAAAACATACTCAGACGTGTTTTTCCCAAACACATCAAAGTACAGTTCAAATGCTTCCCCAAATAAATACTAAGTACAACTGACATGCTTCCCCAAACACATATCACACATAAAAGTCTAACAAGCCTTGTAACACTAAATCCAGAGGCTAACACAATTAATAAGTTATAGATATATAACAGGAAAGGGAAAGTCGGTTGTGAAGCAATTTAGTGGGAGGTAATTTTTCTCTTTCCCTTCTACGTACAAATGAAGTCTTGGGTGAGAAGTAGTCCAACTAATGGGTGTAATGACTACGAGTTGATGAAGCTAATTCCCATACAGAAACCAAAAGAACATGAAAGTAGGATTACATGTGAAGTAAATTATAAGTATATTAAGGAAGTTCGACATTAAGTTGATAATTTGCAGCAGAAAACATAATACCACCCTATGCTGAATGAACTACATATGCACTTAGGGAGAATCATATATGGATTGACAAGGTGGCAATATAACAAGATAAAGGTTGGAGCTTTTACTATGGATTTCTCCTAATTACTAGATCTAAACCAAGACCAAAATATCTAAGCTACCAAGCTATTACCAACTTCCAAATCCTTTTAAAGGTAATTAGAGGCCGTGTCTTTCATTGTCTTTATGTATGTTCGAGGTATGCATTAGAAGTTCTTAGAGTTCTAATTTAATTTTTTGCCTAGATATAACATTTTATCCAAATTTTAAGTTGGTGCAGTGGGCAACTTACGAATTGGATCAAAGTCAGTTGAAGTCATTATGGTTTTGTGTCACTCCGCTTGTATGCTTTCATAGTGTCTCTTGGCACCGTCCCGATCGTACAATGCAACAATTTGAATTTCAACAAAATATTCCTACTTATTCAGAAACAAGGGATGAAGTAGTTGCATTATTTAAGGAGGATGATCGTGCGCAAGAGGATGATTGGGCTGCAAACCATTCCACCTATATTTAGTATTGGAAGAGTTGTTTGAGTCAATGCATTAAGGGGTTGATTGTACCTTCACATCCTCTGCAATATCATTATGAGTACATGCAATGGTATCGACGAATTACACGATGATTCATCACCTACTATGCTGCTGCACATGAGAGTCTGGTACGTATATTCTTAATACAAGTATCTATAATACAGTTAGCTGCAGTTATGAATATAAATATTCATGATGCATCGATAAAGTATTACTGTAACGACACCATAACATTCCTACAGTTTCGAATACAGTATTTTTGTGGTGCACAGATTTTTAATAACATGTTGTTCTTTTTGTTGTGTTTTAGCTTGACGTTATGGAGGTTGCACGTAAAAAGACAAGGCCAGGACTAGCATTAAGTGACTCGGAGGTCCAACCTTTGGATGCTCTTCTCAAGACTAGAATATTGATATGCGGTGGAGACATACATGAGATAGGTGATTCAGTGATAGATGGAGCAGCAAGTGAGGACGCCTATGTTCACTACCCACAGTACGTGCCCTGTAGATAACAGAAAAGGTGAGAAAGTGCATGAGGCCAAGGTCAAGAAAGTGTAGATCATGTATCCAATCCTATTCAAGAGCAAGACCGACAATTTCCACAGATACCAGTGCCTTTGGAAGTTCCTTTGTCATATCATGGTGGATCTGTTAGTCAAGGTGAGGTTGTAACTCTTTGTCCAGTTGCTCAATTGAGTACTCCAAGCTACGCTACTCACCACGATATTGGTGCTAGTGGTAGTAGTTTAGGTTTTTCAAGATTTGGTACCATAGGAACAAGCATAGGTTTTGGAGGCTATAACTCTCCTACCTCGCAATAGTTTGCTCAACATGAGGCACTTAGATAGTCATCTACTGTTAATTTTGAAGATGGCAAGGTTATACCCCATATCCCAATCCGCATATGTGGACGAGGTCGCAGTCCAGCGTGAGCTGCAGAGCAAAACGTCGAGGGACATCGTCCGTATGGCTTGCGAAATAAAGCTACTATCCAACCTACTCTTTGTTGCACTGGTGGCGCAATCCACTTCGAGATGTACATAATTAATTATGGATATTTATAGTTTCTTGTAATGTATTGAGACATTTAATGTTTGACATTAATGTTTGACATTAGTTAAACTTTGATGATAATTGTTATAACGAATATTCTGCTTAGTACAGGTAGTATTCTACTTGTTCCACTAGTATTCTTAGAAATACTTAATATTTATAACATCCAACATTATGGTTATAACTACAAACATTTAGAATTACATCATAT